ATGACGATCAATTGATAGGCATTGCGTGCAGAATCCTCAAAAACAACACAGCATTCTGGATAGATGAGCTCACTCGGCCTGCCTTCACCTTCACGTGGCATGAAATCACCGTATGTTTACAATCTATAAATAATTGCTGTTTTAATCAATGATAGTCTTGGCTTCTTTTATCCGTTATTGATTTAATAGCCACTTCTTTCACTTGAAATAGTGTAGATTTTGACAAGCGCAGGCGTACAGCAAAACATCCATTCTTGCTCTCGTTCCCTATTGTGAAATTTCCCTATTGTGCTACCAGTGCTAGAGGGACACATGGCACATTAAATTTTTCGTGTGGGACCCTTTCCTTTTAACATTTTTTGACGAAAACGTGCCCATTAATAGCTTTTTCAGTTTTACCAAACTGCTAGCAGGAGCATGTATATTCTTACGAACTGGCTTTGTTGAGCTGAAGCGAGGTCGATAACACTTGTTGTTGCTGTGGACCAATGTCAAACGTTTCGGCGGCATTGCCTTCTTCAGAGCCTGGACGTATTTTATGTAATCATATCCGTATAATCACAATCGTAACCCTTTTATTTACTGCCTTTTTCTTTTTAATGGCAGGGTATGTTGCGAAATATAACTCCTATATAATGCTGAGATATTTGCAAAACTCCGGACCGTGGATGTCTGCGGTGGGAACGAACACGCGCTGCTCCCCGATAAGGACAACAGCGCGTGTTCGTTCCCCACTGCATACACCTACGGTCCGGAGTTTTGCAAACATCTCAGCATTATATAGGAGTCATATCTGTATAATTCGCTGAAAAATCAATAATACTAATAAAGATCTAATGTAGAAATAAAAACTATTTCGTTTAAACAGTACTCATCGCTTTGATAGATTAGAGACCTCTTGCATGTCTTTCACATTGGATAGCGAGTGCGACCCATCTAGATCAAAAAACCAGTTCGAAAAAAGGGGCCAGGTCACATGTCATGATGAGACACTCGGTTTTCTATTCATATCTGGATTTTTGAAATCCATCAAAAACTCTTCAAGAGTTTTGCTGTTGATGCTTATGTCTCATTCGCGAGAGCGCTCAATTATCATTTTTATGCTTTTTTCTGCTCTGTGTTCGCCTAGAGGAGTTTTTGTTGGCTCATAAGTTTTCCAGTTAGATGCCTTTTCCACACTGAGACAAAGTGTCTACTTGTTTGGACGATATATTCATCACCGCATTCCTAGCATAACACTAGCACGGAATAAAGTGTATCGACGTTCCACAAAATCGACAAAGTACTCCTCTAGGTACATATAGGGCACAAAAGCACAGTAGGAATGATTTTGAAGCGACTGTCCTGATTCCAACGCTGGAATCGAAAACATCAACGCGTAAGACTCTCAAAGCGCTCTGAATAAATTTCGAAAGTCCAAAGGTGAACTGGAAAGACAAATGCATCATTATCACATGTGACCAGGGACCTGTTTTCTAAGTGATTTTTTGACCTGTGTAAGTCTCACTCGTCATCTCGTCATCCTACGTGAATAACATGCGGGTAGTCCCAGAGGCAACAACACGGTATGTAGTTTTTAAGCACAATGGCGTTCAATTACATGTTAGCTCTTCAATCGTTCTACAGATATTTCACCGAATTATATGGAAAAAGCTAAATAAAATACGTCCATGCTCTGAAGAAGACTAAGCCGCCGAATCATCGGTCTTTGGACCACAAAAACATAAGAATATAAAAGCATACATCGATTATTCATGCCAAGGTTTATAGAAAGTCGGTCTTTTGAGTTAGTGCCAGGTATACTAACCAGCTTTTCGGGCCTCTTCTGGAATAGACGTGAAATTTATCGGAGGAACACCGAACTGCTTTCATCGTATTTCCCAATCACCTGATGGCATTCTTTCTGGGTAATCGATATGAGAGTAACAATCCATAATTTCCTACAGCGAGTCACATGAGTATTAATGAGATTGTAGTATGGCGACGAACCGGAGGAAGAATTCCGAAATGAAAGAAATCCACGGAATTTAATCCCTTTACCAGAATTCCAGACAACTATTACAAATTGCAATTTTAACTTATTATTTATTGCGTACTGTTTTTAGTTGCAGGGTATATTGCGAAATGCAACCTCAACGATACTGATATATTTGCAGAATTCCGGACCGCAGGTATCTGTGATTCAGGTGATTTGGGCTCCCCAGATAAATCCCGCTGACGGGTGATTGTTGATGGCACTGATCGATAGAACTAGGTGAGAGACAGGCGAAACGGAAAACCTGCATGGTGTGGTGGCGTACGCGTTAGCCCCGGAAAGGATAATACCGCGTTCGTTCCCCATCGCAGACACCTGCGGTCCTGAGTTTTGCAAATGTCTCAGCATCATTGAAGTTATTATAATTTATTTCTGCTTATTTTATTTATTTACGCGATCCTTCCTCATATCTGCCGTGCTCGTCTAGCACTCGATTCGTTTAGCATCCATTATCTACAAAGGTCTTTGAATATTTCGCGTGTTTCATCTGCTGCCTGAGGACTTCGTCTCCGTTATGAATATCGCTGAATGCTGGCTGAGTCAGTGGTCGCTGAAGCTCTTGGGTAGCCGGGCTAGATCTTTCCTAATTGGATTACAAAAAATGAACAGCTTCTAGACGGTTGAGCAAATACGAGGTGCTAACAGTAGGATTAAATCAATAAAATTCTGGTTGACATCTCGGCGACTTCGCCTTTTTTGGAGTCTGCAAGAGTCAAATTGGCATTCAATCCATCCAGTCAAACCTATCACAACTCTTCAGCAGGCAAAATTTATTGCATGTTTATTGGCATAGTGAACAGCTTTTATTAAACACTGACAGAGAGGTGTGGCACCAATATCCTGAGTCAGATCTGTGCGAGACTTGACGGGCTGGGTGAGAGGTTGAACCAGCACCATGGTCTCAATGAATCGCAAATCTACCACTGCGCTACCCCCTCCATTATCATAACTCGGTCATAACACTTAAAGGCTGTTATAAATTGGCGTAAAGAAAAGCAAAGTTGCGGCTCGAGGCTATATGCAATAGAGAATTGACTTCGATTTATAACCCTTCTATGCTTTCTATCCTATCAAGCATAATCAACTGCCGGCCTATTCAGCTCATGTAACGCTGCTTTTTTATTCTATAATTACAACAAGTGACTGCGCAGATTGAGCTTCCAATCACTCCTTCTGTGAACTTGCAAACACTTAATTACTGTTTATCTGTTTACCAATCTCCATTTGATTGATTGGCAGTGCGATCTTTGTACCTCCCTCTATTTTTGTTTTCAACGTGGTTTTAAAATTACACAAATGCAACGCTAACAGGTAGAAAATCAAGTAATTTTGGCAGGAATTTATCGAATCATACCAAAGATGATCCCAAGAGCGTCACGTTGTTGGAAAAATCCTAAGACAAACCTCTCCCGAGTGCTGAATTCACTGCAATGGAAAAGCAAGTTGCCATGCTAAAGAGACCTGAGATGTGGAAAAAGCTTATAAAAGTTATACAGTCATTTCAAATCATGAAATGATCCACTAATAGTAATTTATTGATAACGGTTAACTAATATGATTGCATTAGTAACTGATAATTGCATTAATTGTGCAATTATTTAATAGTAATATTAACCAAGGGCGCGTGTGGCGCAGCGGTCGGAGGCGCCCTGCAATACACAAGGGATCGATTGCCGCGCACGTGACCCACCATGCCTTCCATCTCTTCGGGCTTGGCAAATTGGTACCAGATTTGTCCAGGTGGATAGCAGGCACTGGCTCAATACATCTATAGTCACTGCAGTCAGTCAGTCACTGCAAAGGGCAGATATGTATTCAATCACCTCCAAACGGGACTTAATGAAATCGAATGCATGGCGCATCCTTCAGAGATTGATCAACGTCAAGAGCTTTATCCTTTATACTGTTTACATAACGCGAAACGACGCATGACATCCAAGAGAAGAAAAATGGATGCGCTCTAAAGAAACTTTGGCATTTCTGAAGAAAGGTGACCAGTGAGATCAGCGTGTCTTTGCTCAACATTACACGTTGTGCCACTGCTTCAGTGACAGCAACATTCTTTAAACGAAGTAACGAGAACATCATGTAGGAAATCGCCACCTTTATGGACAATGATCACAATAATTCGGCCCGCACGAGCTCCGGTCAGACCATGTAATTACAATAAGTATTTCATAAACCCATGGATCTCTCTCATATGAGAGATCTCGAGGCGGTTAGTCGCGAGGCTACATGGCGCGTCCCCAGGTGTCGGATAGGGGGTTAATCGCAGACCAAATGCGACTTTGCTTCCCTGAGATGTAGGTGGATCCAGAAAATCGACTCCCTGTTTCTGCTGCGCTGATTTGGCACATACTTTCTGTATTTGCTAGCGTATTCATGCATGCGTGTGTGGGTGCGTTCTTGCTCATGCAGATTGTATCCTAAGAGCCAATTCGGCCAAAAGCCTGCAATCAGGTGACTGGGAAGTATACGGGAGGCGGTTAGGAGTCGCCTCCAACAAATAAGCTCCATGTACACTCTGGGAGACCCTGACAAGCTTTCCGTGGGTACACCCAGTCTCCACGCTCAAAGCCCAGTAAGCTATGAGTGGTTATCAAAAATGCTAAACACAGTAAGAAAAAACGGGTCTCATTCCTCTGACCCCGAAGGAGTCCCCAATTCGGCAGCGTTGGGTACGATGAGTACGGAGAGGCTGCTAAAATCTCAGGGCCAATGGAAGTTGCCTGGATTCGAAAGAACTATGGTGACGATCTGTACCTACAATGCACGTACACTTGCATCCGAATCCTCGATAGAAGACTGGCCAGAACGATCAAGTACTATACTACATAATCGGCCTGGCTGAGACGAGGAGACACCAGCCTTTCAACGCCGTCTTTGACACCGGAGAAGAACCGTTCCTCGGAACAACAGTAGAGGAGTCCTCGGCTTCGGCGTTCTCGTCAACACGAGTTTGTCCATGAACATCGATTCATTCGAACAACTTACAACCCGAATCGGACGTTTACGATTAAGAAGACCTGAATCAATTCCGGCTTTGACAATCTTCGTCGCTTACGCGCCTGCATCAATCTATGACGAAAAAGAAGTCGAAGCGTTCTATATGGACTTGGAGAAGTTCAACAGAGAAGACCATACATTCTTTAAGGTCGTCATTGGAGATTTCAACGCCACGATTCGACCAAGAAGAACGTCTCAGGAACGTCACACTGGGACCCACGGATTAGAATGGAACGAGCAGGGTGAACGGCTGTCTGAGTTTATCACGGCGACCAAGACGATCCATGGTAACTCGCAATTTTAGAAGCCTCATCCTCAGCGCTGGACGTGGGAATCTCTCAATGGAGAGTACCATAACGAAATAGACCACATCATAGTAAATAGAAGGTTTTGCCTAACCGATGTCACTGTTGTCTCAAAATTCTACACGGGACCAGACCATCGTCTCCTTCGTGCAAGATTCTATTTCTCGTGGAAAGGAGAAAAAGCCGCTAAATTCCAAAACCGAAGTCCCAGAACCACCATAAACTGGGACTTCTTCAATTCAATAGTCGGCTGTTGGCAAGATGCCGTTGTTGGCAAGAAGATAACATCGACGAAGAATACGATCGGCTCACTCAACATCTTCACGCTAGCGCTATGAGAGCGCAGAGTTCGAAAGTCACCAAGAGACGTCTGTCTGCAGAAGCACTCGAGCTGATACGCTAGCGTGGAATCGCACGAGCTGCAGGCAACCGCGAGCTAATGTTCGAACTTGCAAAACAATTCGGAGAACGTCGGTGTCACTAATCAATATGCATTCCTTCTTTGATGAGCTTACACGAGGTTGATAATGATATTTATTTTCGGCTAACGTTTCGACGTCTTCATCTTTCTCAGAGCCGATGATCCGAGTCGATGGTCCACGCTTGTTATTCGTCTCAACGTGGCAGCTTCGCCTTCGTGTCGAGCGAGGTCTTCTTCAGTGAGCTCTCTCCTCGAATGAAGCATCCTCAAATAGATATCATTATCAACCTTGTGTAAGCTCATCAAAGAAGGAATACACGTTGATTAGTGATACCGAGGTTCAAGGAAAGTCGGTTTCAAAATATTACTACGCTTTGCGCTAGCTGATAATAACACCGACTTTTGCAGGTTTGATGTCCGGGAAGAACAAGTTATTATCACACTATCACCGGACGATCACAGCTATTCACCATTAGCAACTTACATAAAAAGGCATCACTGAGTGAGGATGTCTCATTCGAGGAGATGGCTCACCGTGGAAGACCTGACTCGACACGAAGGCGAAGCTGCCACGTCGAGACGAATAATAAGCGTGGACCATCGACTCGGATCATCGGCTCCGAGGAAGACAAAGACGTCAAAACGTTAGCCAGAAATAAATATCATTATCAACCTCGTGTAAGCTCATCAAAAAAAGAACAATGTAGAGAGGCGATAAAAGAAGATCTTAGGGAAAGAAGAGCAGCAGTAATGGCCGAAGCTGCAGAGGCTGGAACAAGCACTCGCAAAGCCCACCGAAGCTTCGCCAATTACAAGACCAAAATGATTGCTCTCCGGTGTCCAGACGGAACAGTTACAGCGTCCAGAAAGGCAATGGAGAAAATCATTCACGAATACTACTCGGATCTCTTTGATAGCCACGTCAACCTTCCGTCATATGAAATAGAGGAGGATGGATATGTTGTACCACCGGTTCTCCCTTCCGAAATCCGACATGCCATTTCGTGGGTGAAAAATCGAACAGCACCAGGTCCGGAGAGTATAAGACCAGAACACCTGAAGAACCTTCCGCCAGTCCTCGTAAGCACACTGGCTCGGTTCTTCACATGTTGCCTGTCCGAATGCAAGGTTCCTACTCAGTGGAAGACCAGCAAGACCGTGTTATTGTTCAAGAAGGGTGACCTGCACGAAATCGGCAACTATCTCCCAATTTCCTTACTGTCTCTCGACTGAAAACTTTTCACTCGAGTTATCCTAAACAGGATCGACAGAACACTAGACGAAGGACAGCCATGTGAGCAAGCAGGGTTTCGAAGAGGATTTAGTACGATGGACCACATCCACGCGGTAACACGGCTCATTGAAGTATCGCGAGAGTACAAAAGACCGCTCTGTCTCACTTTCATCGATTTACAAAAGGCCTTTGATTCAACTGAGATAGAAGCAGTCTTGGAAGCCTTCGATAGTCAAGCAATCCCTACTCAGTACATAAAGATTCTTCGTGAGCTGTACAAAAAATTCACAACCAAGATATCACCATTCTACAACGATATTAACATTGACGTCAAAAAAGGAGTTAGGCAAGGCGAAACTACCTCGCCAAAATTATTTACCGCCACCCTCCAGAACGTGATGCGAACATTGGAATGGGATAATATCGGAGTGAAAATGGAATACAGTTACACCAACTTCGCTTTTCTGATGACATCGTCCTTATAACACCAAACGGAACGGAACGCCAAGCGGAACGTATGCTTGACGACTTTGATAAAGCCTGTGGAAAGATTGGTCTTCGACTAAATCTCACAAAAACGATGTTCATGAAGAACGGATTGGTTTCATATGGCCCATTCACGCTCAACGGAATGAATATCTCCGAATGCTTCAGTTATGTCTATGTAGGTGGGGGAAATCAATATGACGAACGACCTAGCAGCAGAGCTAAGCAGTAAAAAACGAGCGGCTTAGCGAGCTTTCAAGAGCATCGAGGATGTAGTGAAGAGGACAAAAACACCCGACTCCGTGCCCACCTTTTCGACTCAACGGTGCCTCCTCCCTAACGTATGCCTCAGAAACCTGGTCGCTGCATAAGCAGGTCGGAAGGTTACTCAGCGTTATCGAACGCACAGTCGAAAGGACGATGCTAGGAATATCTCATTCCACGTAAGTAAAGGATAGGATCGGAAGCTCCGATCTGCGTCAACGATCAAGAATCAAAAATGCCTTTCTGTACGCTAAGCAGTCGAAGATAAGGTGGGTTGGACACGTAATGGGTATGAATGACAACCGATGAACAAGAGCCGTTCGTGACTGGATTCCTCAGGAAGTCAAACGTACTGCAGGAAGACCACCGACCCGATGGTCAGAGTTTTTCACAAAGAGCCTTGATGAAAGATATGGTGCTCGACGACTCCCTAGAGCGAGCAGAACCCACTGGGCTACTCTTGCACGCGACAGGGAAAAATGGAAGATTTACTGGCGCCCGCTTGAGTCACTCGACGATCAGCAGGACTATAGGTGACACAGGTGATTTCATAAACGAGCTGTCGATATCTCAAAACTTAGTTTTATGCATGATTGGGCTAGCTTTCTAGATGATTGAGTTTTGTTATTGTTTGCTAAAACATACACTTCATCTTCCAAAACATTGTGGTAAACTATTTGTTATATTTGTAAAAGGAATTTTTCAAAGCCAATGTTTTGATTGATCAATTCTATACACCGGCTCTTGACTCTATGTCGGTCAGTCTGTTAATTGATTGGATCGCTGCTGACCTGGACGAAACGTAGACTTTGACAGTACCTTTAAAAAGAATACTTCAAGAGGATTCTCAACGTCACTAACGAGGAATAAAGCATGATGGAATGTAGCCAAGATCTTTGCAGTTAGCAAATCTGCAAAGAAAGTTGATGTAGATTCTCACCAAAAGATAATTGAAAATAGATTCTCCGCTAATCTTACATCTACCATCCATATTTCGAATACGCCGGTAACGACCCCATCAGCAAAAGCTTGTGTTGCAATAAGAAGCTTGGAGTACAACTTGTGAAACAGATGGACCAAATAATATTTCGCCCGATCTTAGACGAGCCGTCAACCATCAGTAACTTTCCTTCCAGCTCAGTTGACGTAATGCCTACAAATAAAGCACTCACCAAAACAGAAAAGGAGTTCGCGTCCCGTTCATTGAACAAAAACTGTATTATTAGTTCCAATTATCACGCATTTACTCCACTAAACCAACTTCATAACTTTTCCAATAAGGGCGCATCTCCTAGAAAGTGTGTGGGATCCATTCTACGGAAGAAAAACTGAATTTCGAAAAGAATTTACCTACGTGGAGCATATCCACTCCAGAATTTTTTAGAGGTTTGTTAAGAACACCTTGCCCAAAGCATCACTAACTACAAGGCAGCATCTAATGTGGACAAACGTGGCTTTGTCCATCAGTAATTGCTCAAGATGTATAATATTCGACATAAAAATGCCTACTTAGTGAAAGAATTTACTGTACTATGACAGCACAGACTTTTTGTCGACCGCCGATGATTCTAATTGCTGTAGTAATGAGATAAGGCTAACAAAAATTTCTTAAACCTGCTTATCAATCAAAAGGAATGATACCGTGATACGTTCTCATGCACATTCCTCTATAATCTTTATTACTCCGACGACAGCGCCATCTTTTCGAGAAGTACCGCAGAAGCAGTAGCAACACTTGCCAATCATAACTCAGACACCGAGTAAAATAGGATTACAGAGCAATGGGAGGGAAATACGATTTGCGAGCAACTGTTGGTATAGAGGAAAATGGACCACTTCTAAATAGATTGGTGTTCCACGTTACCACATCCTAAGTACACTAATTAAGTGCCGTACTATTTTTAAACAATAGATTATTATTTGAGTAAAGGTTTCTGCAATCACCACCTTACGCAGCGCTCGAACTTTTTAGAGAACCTAAAGACCAACTTGCTAATCTCTACTTACACACTGCCTTATTTAACGTAACAGCTCTTTTATGTTCTACGCATAGAACACATTCTCTCACGTTTCTGCCACGTCGAAAAGGCCGCCTATGGGCATTTTAGCTGACCTCTGAAGATGAATCGGTGTTGATTGAACCAACTTTCGAGACTAAGCAGAATACTTCTCAAGTAGTAAGAACCATAAGCCGGTCATATAATGGACAACAAGATAGGTAGAAGAGGCGAACGTTTTTAGGAATCTCCAGAAAATCGTGATGACTGTGAAAATCGCTGCAAAAATAGCTGATTATTTCTTTGCGAGCATGGGCCATCTCTATTTATTGGCAATAAATAAAAGTTACAACAAATTTTGCTACTTATCGGCTATAAGCAGACACGGATAAGGTCTCTACTTTTCCAATATAACGTGTCGGATACTGCATCGTTGGACATACTGGCTCACGAGGAATGAGCAACACCACGTTGTCCTCATCAAACTCTCTATTTTTACCGTTTTTGCAACAGAGTGCAATGAAGACCTTCTCGGACTCTCCAAAACCACAACATGTTATTTATTTTAAGATCATCAAATCAACCCTTTCACAAAGG